TTTCATCTATCCAAAATCCTTACAAAATGTATTCCTTCTGAAATGTTTACTAAATACTCATGTACTGAGTAACCTCATCCTCAGTGATCTCTTTTGTGCTTAAGAGCAGGAGGGTTCTTGAAAATGGCATTTTATAAAGGTAGAAGGTAATACCTTATGGTACAAATTATCCCCAGTTTACCAGCTTTCCTTGGTACTAAGGGTTTTGCTAATTGGAATATTACTGAGAACCTGATAAATAAGAACAGCAAAATTTTCCTTTCCCCCTCCCCCCCATTTCACTTAGTCCACAAAATTCCAGTTTCTAAGGAGTTGATATACAATATTACTACAATATTAAGGTCTAATATTATAATAACAAGTTTGCTTTTGAAATTCAGTCTAGAGTATAAAATATTAAGCCATATTAGAGGTAATGAGTTATCTGTATTTAAACACACAAACCATGCATTATAGTTAAGTAGAGGGTTTGTTTCCAGCAGATTCTTTCAGTTTGAGCCTTTTAAAATATTTGCAGCAAAATATTTATTGTAATTGTTGCAAATAGTGTGTTCTTAACATCTCTAATAAAAAACACCAGCAGGATCAAATCGGTAAGAGCACGAAGTTCTTAGGGGTTTTGAATCCAGCAGGATAATGTAATTAATAAGACTGTATTTGACAAAGGAATATATAATTTATACATAATACAATACATGTAATAATGTAGAATTTAACATATAATTTACAATTATATGCCTGCCAAATCAAGTTAATTGGACAAGTTTTTAAAACAGTTGATGATGTAATCCATCTGCATGTAACCTTGAGTACTTCAGGCAGTTTAAGAAAGAACTTCATTGTAAACTGTTTGGTCTCTTCCTCCTCACTTTTCAAAGGAAGTTCTTTTGGCTGAGATGAAGGAAAATTAAAAAGAATGTTATTGACATAAAATATTAAAAGGCAAGCTTGCTGAAGCCAGCTTCAGAGCATTTTAACTTTTGCCTTTTAATTCCATTATGGGCAGGGTTTTGCTGAGCATTACCAGTGATGCAGAAGACCATGCTCATAGGAAAGTTCTGCAGTGCAAAGTATAAAATATGCTGATGATTTAACATGCACACCCCAGCGCTCCCCACACAGGGGTCAAAAGCCAGGGTTCAGCTGGACTCACAAATACATCACCCTGAATCAAACAGAGCATCCTTAAATCGTAGCAGTCACTACACACACTCATTACATTAATAAATTGCTTGCTAATGGGAGCAGTGACAAGTAAGATGTGCACTTAGTGGCCCTGTTTGCTGCCTGCTCCTGATGCCTGAATGCCCGTTTTTCTCTGGGTTATGTTCTAAAGCCTTCAAAGTGCACGAAGAAAATCTGCTCAGTGTTGTGAAATAAATCAAAGAGTGTCTGCTGAAAATTCCTAAAACGCTTCTGCCCTAATCTCCTGGACCAGAGAGTGGGCTTGCAGAATGCTAAACTTGCTTTTCAAAGAAGATCAAAGCAATGGCAGCAACAATTAAAAGCAGGGGTGCAGGTGCGCGCATGCGTGGGGCTCCGCGGAGGCACCAAGAGCCTCTTTTTAGTCATCCCTGAATGCTAACGCTGACTTATCTAATCATTACACGTGTGCTTTGAAAGGACAGGAGATGTGTTTGGGAGAGACACAAAAACTGTCCGCCTTTATGGATAAAATGTAACATTTTACAAGACACACAATTTCCATTAATTTTGAAAAGCTCCTCAGCTACTGTCTAATTAAACCAGCCTGTGATTTTGTTGTTTAGTGATTCAAAGATAAATGAAGTTTCAATTGTGTATCTATCCTTCCTCCTGTTAGTCTTTCAATAGGGTTTCTCTGCTTCAATACTTTGAGGGCCAGCTGCTTGCCTTACCCCAACACCTGAATAACCAGGTTTGGCAGCTTATCAGGAGCACTGCAGCAATTTAATTTGCCTGCTTCAACTCTCATCCAGTACTGGTTGTCCTGCCTTCTTCACACAGTTACACAAGAAATACTTGTGTTAGTAGCTAAGTGTAAGGAGTGCTCGTGCCTGAGGGAGGGTGATGTTACTTGACAAGTGCTACGCCTCCAGTATGGGGAGAGACTCAGCAGCCAACCTGCTATTTCCCTGATAATATGGTTTGTCTGTTTTCCCTTTCTCAAGAGGGCATTTCACTGCACAAACCAGAAAGGGAAGAAAAAAGTCCCCCAAGCCCTGCCAATAAACAGCCATGGGAAAAAACTCTTCCAAGTTCACAGGATAAGTAAGGAAGGAGTAAAACCCTGAATGAACTACCCTGGCTAAACTGGGTTAGGATGAAAAATGCTTCTACTAAATGCTGAAAATTTAGGTCAGTCTTGTTTATGTGACGATATAAACAACTGACATTTTGAGAAGCATGTGAATCAAAGTGATATTTCTGTGTTCCCTCTGAATCACATTGGGCCGCCAGGCCCTTTTATACCAACCAATTTCTCCCCCTTCAAATAAAAAAAAAAAAATCTGAGTTGTCATGTCAGCTGTAAGCAGCAACACATTGGAGTACCGTGCTTCAAAGCCTAGTGGCAGCAGCCCTGATATATTTCATATTTTTAAAAAACATCGAGTTAACTGAGTGGCTACTTGGGAAACATATAACAGAGGAGAACCAAGTAGGTACAGTTTTGAAAGCTGCCTGCCTCTTTCCTACCCCCATATTAATACAGATTACATTATTCCCCTACAAGTATCAAGAGAAGATGAGGAAAAAGATAGCAGATGCCCTTCTGAGACCTAATTGATGCTATCCAAAACATGCCTCACACCAGATATCCATTACACTTAACACAGCTCAACGTAAGGTGATTCTGACAACGTGAATAGGGCTCAATCCTATTTCTCTTCAAATCCTTGTGAACAGTTTATTACATACAGACCCAGGCACAGTGATTCATTTTGATAAAATGCTACTTAGCAGCATCAAAACTGCCTGAGCATTTTGTCTGCCCATACTAGGGCTTCCTACTGCTGCCATTTAAACAAATGGCAGAATTCCCATTTACTTCCATGGGTGGAGAGCCAAGCTCTTAGAAACCTTTGTTTTTAAGGAAAAACATTTTTCCTCCCACTCATGAGTATAGTTCTCCTGAAAACCCAATGGAACTGTTTAAGAAGTCAGGTGGTTAGGACTGGGCCCAGAGGTCAGGAACAAAGAATATTAATACAATCTTGCTATTGAAAAACTGAGCAGCAACCTCAAAGCATTGTTGTTGTTTTCAAAACAGAAAATGTCATTCTGAGATTTAAATATGAATATTTTAAAATATATATAAATCTGTGAAGAAAAAAAGGAAGCACACATTTCATTTAATGTCTGGATTACAGATTCTTATTAAACAAACCGAGCTCATTATAAAATCAATATCAACCACTACACTCCCAGGAGAAATGGCAAAAAAGGTCACTCCAAGAAATTCAAACAATTTTCCTGCTGGAAGGGCACGATTTTAATTACAGATACTATTAATTAGAGCTGTCAGTAGGAAGATTGTCCTGTTAATTATCAGAAATTCAGTTTCAAGTGTGGTTTTGGAACCTGGAGGGCTTTTCAAAAAAATTAAGAATTCCTGTATTCACAATTAATGGAAGAAAAAGCCTACCTATTGTTTCTGTGTTTTAAAAAAGCCAACAGCAAGTCACCTATTAAAATCAAACAAAAATATTTATGGGCACAGTCTCACTGGCCAACAAAACTGATAAACTGCTGTTTTGTTCACACTTTATCCCAGAGTACAGTCCTTTTTTTTGTCTACAGGAAAACGCTCTTGCTCTCACTCTGTCTTGCCTTGGAAGTCATTAAATGCAAAGATATGATGATCTAATGATTTTTCTTTAAGTAACCATTTCTTAAAAGTGAAAACCAAAACCATTCCTGAAGATGCTAATTGTTACAGAAACCTTCATATTTATTATTCTGTACTTTATCTTCTCTAGACCCAGCCTGGGGAAAAAATACATTACATCTTTAACATCTAAGAGGTACAGACAGATCCAAACTTTGTGAGGAAATATGAGTTTATTCCCATAATACTTTCAGCTGCCAATTTAAATCTAGCTCAGCTCCAGGATACAGAGAGGCCAGAATGTCTGATCCTAAGCAGAACAAGAAAGTAAAATAAAACTTGACAAAAAAGTGCCGTCAGCGAAGCCCTATGGGTGCACAATAGTCAGAGATACTACAGAGACAATGTTTACACATTCTCAGATTCTTTTTCCTGGTCACACTCCAAATATTTTTGGGTAACAGACCAGGGCTGTCTGGTAGATTACCATAACACATGCACTACCACACCAATAACACACCAAGAAATAAGTGCCATATGATCTAAAACAAACTTCAGGAAGACGCAGTGTCTCTCTACCAAACACTTTTGAAACTGAAAGAGAAAGCTCGAGGTTTCTGATTTATTTCTGAGAAGCTGAGTGCAGTCCTTCAGCATTACTGAGTACACATCTGCTATCATTGTTCTCCTAGAACCACTCCTGGTTTACCTCCCATCTATCAGCATTAGATTTCATTTTATCTGAATAATGGCAGAAGGTGGCAACAGATCGGGTCAAAGGCTCTTTTCATATCAGACCCTGAAGAAGTCGATTACTCAAAAAGAGAGACATCTTCAGATAACCGTGCAATCCATTCCTCATAAATGTTAAAGATTTTTCGTTATTAATAGTGGCAGGGGTGACAGATTATGGATATTAATGTTATTTTTCTGAGAATTTCAATGGCAAGGGCTGGGATTTTTTTTTAATGTTTCTAATTAGGCACGAATTTACAGCAGCTACCAGAATAGCCAAGATTAATACCCAGTAGTAAAAAGCTGCTACACCGAATCCGCGGTACTATGAATGGAACGGGGGCGGGGGGAAGCGTCGGAAACAAACCCACCCCCGCGACTCCCAACGCGAGAAGGGCCTCCCCGGGGGTCTGCCGGGCAGCGGGGCAGGGCCGGAGGAGGAGAGCTTGGTCCTTACCTGGTAAGCAGCGGGCGCATCGGAGCCGGCGTCAGCCCCCAGGGCCGAGAGCTTCTCCTTCAGGCGGTGGTGGGCGCGGTGGCGGAGGCAGTAGGCGACCCCCGACGCCGCCAGGACCCCGGCGATGCAGGCGAGGGAGAGGAGGGTGAGGAGGAAGAATTTCGCGGACTGCGCCTCTTCCCCGCGCTGCGCGAGCGGCGGGACGTTGCTTTTCTGCAGGGAAGGAGAGAGAGGCAGCGCCTGAGTTGCGCGGTCACGGAGCGGCGCGGAGGGGGGATCCCGTCGGGGGGAACACCCGGCAGCCCTAACTTTCGGCCGGGGAGGGAGGCAAACAGAGGGGCAGGGACAGGACCGCTGCCGTGCCCCGCTCCGTGCCCTCCCCTCCGGCGGCTCGCACTTAACTACCGAGAGGCGGAGGCGGACCCGCGGGATGCGCGCAAGCACCGCGGAGCGCCCCGCTCGCACGGCATCGAGGATCAGGGGCTGCGAGGGGCGCAGCAAGGGAAATTCCGGTATTGGTTTTTTTTTTCTTAGTGAAAAATAAAACACAGGAAAAAAAAAAAAGTAGGTGGCGATCCTTCCTTTTGTCTGTTGTAGAGGGAAGCGGCTTATAAAAAACCCCGATAGTTCCAAACTCCTCCAGATTACTATTATTTTTGCAGCAATAGGAGAGAATCCTTCTAGTGCATTTCACTTGTCTCCATGTGCTAAAAAGTTGTACAATAATTTCCCCTCATTAGCTTCATTATAACCTATATTAGCAACAATTAAAAACGCAACATGAAAATGAAAAGACCAGGCGCGCAAATTGCAGCAAGACTCATTTGGCCTGCATTCCCCCTTTCACAATTACCAGGGAAATGAATTGAAAAGCACGCCCCTGCCTCAGTCCTGGTTGCTACAAGACGAGAACAATTAGCAAACTCCTTTCCACCACCTAATTTCGCGTGGTAACAAAATGGATTTTTCCCCATGAATGCCTAGCCGGCCTATTCATTATCTCTCCTCTATTAGTAATTTTCTGCTCCGTATTCAGCTAGCCAGCTCTTAATTTCCTCCTGTCTTGCAGTGTACACAGTGGCTCTTATGTCAGGCCCGGTCCATTTTTATCTTGTAATCATAAAGGCCACCAAAGCAATTATCGCTGGTCTTGACTGTAAAAGCTTGTCATTAATTAGCCTCCTTGCCTTCAGTGCTGCGGATTAGCCGGGGCTGAGGCTGAGTTAATGGAAAAGCAGGTTCAGTCAGACTCCCGGATTTTCTTGCCTGGATGCGCCGGGCGGAGGAGGATCGCCGGTCCGTGCGCCCCGGCGGGGCGGCGGGGGGCGGGCACAGGGCTCGCCGCGGCCACCGGCCATGTGCCGTCCGCGCAGCCACCGCCGCGCCCGCCGCCTCCCCTCCGCTGCACGGCAGCCGGCCCCTCCTCCAAATCCCAACAGCCACCAGGAGGAGGGGGCTGCACCCCCGCCCCGGCCGCGGGGGGATCCGGGGCCGCCTCCCCGCCACCGCCCCCGCGGCCCCAGCCGGGCACCTGCCCCGGGGGGAGCGCGCCCTCGGCCCGCACCGGGCGGGGGGCACCGGGAGGGGCAGCACCGACGGCAGTCGCCTCGGCCCCGGAGGGGGTAAAGGGCTGCTGCGCTCTGCCGTTAGCATCTCCCTGAAAGGCCCCGTCCCCCCGGGGCCAAGGGTCGCAATCTGCATCTCAATAGGCGGATCCCGCCGAAGTGCCGGCGCCCCCTCGCCGAGCGCTGCGCCCCGGGATGTTAATCCTTGTCGCCGCGGTGTTTGGCCCCCATCAGCCGGGCAGGGACCAGCCCCGCACTCCCGGACTCCCCCGCGGGCCGGCCCCGCTCATCGGGCGGCTCTGGCCGCCTCGGCCCCCGGGTGGGCTCAGGGGCACCGACGGGAGGAAACACGCTGACGGGCAGTTTCGGGCACTGCTCCTGAGCCTTACTGCTATCTCTACCACGGTTTTAAAACTATTTTTTTTTCTCCGGATGCCGTATGACAGAGCCGCACCAAGCACACGGGGAAAGGGCTGTGCGAGAGAAACGATGACAATGATGCTGACAAAGTGCTGTCAAAAGCTCCGAGTAAACATGCAGAAGAGAAAGGGCGGCAGGCTCTTTCTCCCACTGGAGTTAGAGCTATTTTAGATGTTGCTTCCAACTTCGCCAGGCAATTTTCCTCGCAAAGCCGGGGCTGCCGTCCCTGGAGCTGGCTGCCCTTGACAAAAGAATTGCTCGAAGAGCCCCCCCTACATACTCTCAGCGTACAGCTGCACTCGGGAGCCTGAAGCACGGGGAAGAGTTAGAAACCTTCCGTGGGGCTTTCGGCGTTGCTTACACTCGGCAAGCGTCTGCCCTGGGGGAGTCTGTGTAGCCCTGTCCCTTGTGACAGGCTTCTAGCAAGCGAGGGCTTGCAAAGCTCCTGCACGTCCAGGGGGAGCGGCGCCCACGCCTGTCCAGACCCCCGTGCCCTGGGAGGAGATGGAGGCCCCGCGGCGGAGGGCAGGGGCCAAGGGCCAAGGGGCACTGCCGCTCCCCGCTGCCCGGCGGCGCCCGCCACGTCGGATCCGTCGAAGGGGAAGGGAGAGAGGCTCTGCCGCGGAGCCGCCGACCCTTCTCCCATTCCTTTCCCCCCTCCCGCCTCACGGGGAGCAGCTCCAGAGCCGCTGCCGTCGGGGCCCGGAAGACTCCGCTCTCCCCTCCCTGCCTGCGGGGGGCTGGTGCTTCGGGCCACCTCGGCCAGCCCCCACGCCGCCCCCGGGAGGGACCAGCGGCTGATGCGCCCTGCGCCGTCCCGCAGGAACCGCCGGGTGCGGCCGGCGGCAAAGTCCCATCGCTCGGCTCCGGCTCCAACTCCGGGCCGCGCATCGGTGGCGTCCCTGGACCCCGGGCTGGGGACACCCGGACCCGCAGAAGGTAGCCCGGCCCGGTCCCCCGAGTACGTCCCATCAGGACACAGCCCCCACTGCCCCCAAGGCAGCTGGAGGAACCCGCTACACTTTCATCCTACTCGATGCCTGACCAAACATCACATTATGAAACGGGTAAAAATTAATCCGACGTGTTAGTTACCATCTCCCTCCCTCCTCCCACCTCTCCCCCCAGCCGCCCCCGCTGCCTCTAACCAAGAGCACAGATTCCCCACCTCGCCTAACCCCCTGATTCTTCCCTGCAATAAGGCCCCAGCCTGAAACGGAGCCCAGGGTTAATTAGAGGCGTCCTGTCAGCCTTGACTTGAAATTGAAAGAAAAGTGTTTAAATATTTATGAATTTGACATTTACAGTCGGATGTCTTTTAAAGCAGAACACCTCTCCCTGTGCTGGTTGGGGCTGCCGTGGTGCGTGTGCCATGGTGCGTGTGCCTGGGGTGGAAGGGGAACAATAGCTATTGCATAACAAGAAAAACAAATTATCTCCCCACCCAAGGCTTAACAAATAAATAGACCACATAAATTACACGCAATTAAATATTAAACTCAGCTACATGTAAATATGCATTTTTTAAACTTCACATAACAGACTATATTGACATTCCTCTGAATGATTTTTTCCTTCGAAAACTGTGGAGTATCAATGAAGTCCCAATGAAGGAAAAACAACTAATTCCTAAATGAATGGCTTAGAAAGAGAATCTGAATGGAGAGGCTTTGGAGGTGTTCATCCAGCCTTGCTTTGAAACAGCCCGACCTAGCTTAAATGTTAGAAAGCAAAGAACAACAGCACACCTAACACACACAGTGTTTACTTGAAGTACCCTGTTTCTGTGAGGGTATGTGGGTTTTTTAAGAAGAAAGAAAATTCTTAGGGTCTGATCTCATGTAGGCTTTCCCGGTCCCTCGACAGAACACATTTTATATACACCCAAAAGTGAGTCATTAACTAGAGCAGCCATAACACTGGAGTCACAAATCACTGTTCTAATCAAAGAGCAGCGTCCCGTTCCGCGGTGTCATCCCATGATGCAGCAGAACAGCCGACATTTCAAACGAATCCCAGGCAAATGTCAGTAAATATTTAATGTACGCTTTCATGTAAATAAGTTCTCACACCTATGCTGGAAGTGTTGGAGAAAGTCTTTGTAAGAGCAGAGAGGAGCTCCCCATGCAGTGATGTGGAAGCTCACCATACAGATGCCCCAGCAGAATTACACTTCTTTATTTACTTTAGGACACAGAGCATGATTCTGGTCCTTGCAAAACTCTTAACTGAAGTTGAAGTTTTATTTTGCTTCATAAATTTAAAAAGATTTAAACCCCAATTTGCCAGTTACTGCACATGACCATTCTTCCAGTTAGCAATGAGAAAATCACTACAATTAATTTTTAAACAACTCAACATTATAATTTTTTTGCAATTTTTGCATGCTTTGATTTTTACATTTATATTACATAGTTTTGTTTTTGAACAATAATAAAAAATTGAAGATATCTTAGTAAATATGGGCAAAAAAGAGGAACTTCAGAATATTATTTGTTTCAAAATATTAGAACGTTAAGAAACTCAAGAGGTGCTATTTTTAATTTGGAATTCACTATAGAATCTAATAAATGAGAGAAGTGAGGCGGAAATAATCATGTATTAATTCTGTGCATTACAAAATCTTTTCAGAAGCTATTATCAGAGCAAGAGGCATTGTGGTTTGGATTCAGGGTGGGAGAAATCCTTTGTGCAACTGAAAGCTATTGTTCCTCTGTGCAGATGAAATTGTACTTGCAAATATGCCATTCAAGGAGGGAAAAAAGTACCTAGGCAGAAAAAAAGAATTCTACAAGAAAATCATTAGTCTTAAAAATAAACTTCTCTAAAATAAAATAAGTTTTGGTTCATTGTTTGTTTGTTTTCTAAGGAATACCCTGTGTTTACAGTTGCAGCCACTGACATTACATGAAAATACAAAGGATATGTGTATTATTTCCTTATATAGAAAGCATGAAGAAAGGGATGTGTGTGGGTGTGTATATATATAATGTGTGTATGTGTTCATATGTATCTATACACACATCCATATATGTCTGCTCATTTATATAAATCTAAGCTTAAATTCACTTCTAGCAATTTTCCTCTCCCAGAGGTTATCTGAGACATAGGTTGATCCACTCTGCTGGTTAAGTTTTGATAGGTTACTAGCAAACCAGAGAAACACTTTACGTCAGGAGGAGGCTGGCTACCATAATCTGTCCCAGGAAAGCTACAGAGATTTTTTTT